AACTAATAAGTGACAAATTTAAGTTGAAATCAGTATGGATTCGCATGTGAAAAAACATAAATCTTAGTTGATTTGATGTTCATTCAAATAATAGCTAACAGTAATAACCAAACAACACTATTCTCAGAGGACAAACGTTATTCATACGTAATACAAACGTGCATTTAGCATACAGCCATGTGTATACTAAAAAATAACATATATCAAAATATACATATATTCATTTTTATCAATTCGAATTTTTTATCAAAAATTTATTCTGGAGAAAGCTGAAATATTTGGACTTCATGCATTTGTTTGCTTTTTTCCTAAATCAAACGAACAACTGATCATTCAGTCATTCGATCCTCAATCCATTTATAATGTACGCCATTTCACTGCTTTAAATACTAATTTTATTTATTCATGGTCAATGTCCGTCACATCTTTACCAGGTTATTGCTATTGCGCATCATCTTTTCAGATTTTAGAATTAAAAAAAAAAAGTGTCAGAACTTAAAAAACAAAAAAACTTTCACTTCAGCAAATTCGAAAACTCTAAGCTCGTTGTCAGTGGACAAGTGCTTTGCTAGATGATAACGATACTGTTTCTCGATCAAAAGTTCTAAAAATTTTGTACCAACCAGAAGTACCTTTTATATTTTATAACTATTTTGTCGCAATTCGGTGCACTTTTTTAATGATTAATTTTACTTATTAAGAAAGTAATACTTCTTGTTGAATTTTATTTTTTCTTTTTCTTATTCAATTAAACGTTTTATTTAAAGACAATGTGTTGCTGTGAAATAAAATGCGTTGTTTTAGGATTATTTTGGAAATCACGCAGGTATCACGGAATGACAGGTATCACGGAATGAGATGAGTGAATGAACTTTTGACTTATCTGATCCACGCACTTCTGAAACTTTTTAATCTGCACTTCAGGAAAGCTCATATTTGACATTCCAAGTGCGGTTGCTTAATTTCTGATTCACATGTAATAGTTATGAGACTCCCGTTTAATTCTTTTTCCTTTTCGATTGTTATGGTTCGTTTCTTACGGATACAAGAATTACATTTTCCTTCCCCCCATATCTATTAAAATAATGATAATAACTGCTTTCTAAAATATTCTATCTATCCACAAGTTTTTTTCAAAATTCCATGCTTGAAAGAGCATCTGATTGATTTTGTATAGTAGCGCTGGAATACGTAACTAAGAACTATGAAAACTAATTCTTGAAATGACAAATTGAAATTATTGTTGTTAAAGTGCTGTTTAAAAAATTAAATAACATGAAAATCGTAGATTGATGTTATTTGTGGAAGTCATGCATTTGAGAATTTGGTTGCCTAATATGAATCAGTCATTTTTGCCGATACCATTGTCAGACTTGTTAATAATATTAAATCAAATCATTCAGTTATATATATATTTTTTTAATGTCATGTGTGCTTCAACAGCAATGATTGTTGGTTGGTATGAAAAGAATTTCTGAAAAAAATTATGAGAGCACGCAAATGATGTTAATTTACACTAAATGCGTGTGTATGTTACTGAAAAATAATATCCTGAATACAATTACTTGAATAATCTTCGAGATCAGATTCAACTTCTCTCATTTTCTTTATTTATTGTTTTCTGACATTGTATTGTATATAATGCATTTATTTATTATCATTTTAAAAGTACATGTGAAATCAGAATCAGATGCTTCCATTATGCAACAGTTTCGCTTTCATGACAAAAGTATTATTTATTTGTGTCCCAGATGCTTTGAAGTGATGATTATTTCCACGCGAGAATCATCACTTCAAGGCATCTGTGACACAAAGCATCTACAACATTGTAAGCAAAGAATTATAAATTTTAGAACAATTCAAAATGTCTTTTAAAAAATATAATCAAATTACGCCACTTGAAAAAATTTTGTGATAATTAGTTAAAATATGCATTAATGAATTAGACAATATCGTTTAATGAATACGTCATTTAGTCTTTTTTCGTTACTTTAATCACTAATTGAAAATATGTATGTTTCTTACCAGTCACAATTATGTGTCACTTAATTTTTTTGGATTTTGCTAAAAATTCGCAGGCACGTTTTACTTTGCCTCCACTCATATCTGTATCAAATGATACGAACAAAAACTGAAGTAACTGCAGTAATAGGTTCACTTTTTTTTGTTAGCAGTAATAACAAGGTGACCTTTAGCCGTAAGATTTGACTTTAAAGATTTGTAGTCAACATCTGGTGGAAGATTGTAAGTACGATTAATTTCACGTTTTATTTCGCCAGATTTTGCGCTTTTTGATTCATGCAAACATCGAACAACTAACTGTTCGCCAATCACTTTAACCTTTAAAATTGAAAGTTCGTTTTTTAAGAATGAACTGCCACGAGAAGCTAATCAACAAATAATGATTATACGGATGTAGATCAAATTTTGAATTAATTCATGTAATGAAGCTCAGTACTTGCTTATTTTATTAACACACTGAAAAGCATACTTATGATAGCTCTTATAAATAATTACCTCAATTTCTTTAGGTTCGAAATAAACTGCTTCAAGTGCGACTTCGAATTTATCGTCAGTATTTATAACCTTCACCATACCATCATCCTTATTAAGTGGCCAGTCCCACTGGTTGATCTTCTTCAAACTATCCGAAAGTCCCACGTTTATGGTAGTCATTATTGTCGCAAATCTAAACTATATCCATTGTTCTATTCGTGTAGTATAGATTAAACAAGCTTGAGCGTTATGATAGGCGTTAACAGAATCTATTATCTCATTTGCATAAGGGAACAAACTAGCGTAACAGAAAGCGCTGAAAATTCATTTACTTTGGATTCCAGTACTTCGATTCGTGATATTGAAATAATGCTTGTGTTGTTTTTTTCTCAAATTTACGCAAACATTTTGAAATGGCTAATTCTTGATAAGTAATAGATAATACTAGCAAATTTATGCAACTTTGCTTTTTTTTATTTTTAGCAATTAACAAGATAGAATAATGAATAGAATTAGTTTCTTGCTTAATTACTACATAGTTTTTGATCAGTGAACTGATATTAAGACTGAACTGACAGTCGAGGCTAAGACAAGAATTACTACAAATGTTGTCTTTCTGTTTACATTTTTAGGATTAAATTGTTGCAGAAGCAGCAAATATCTTTTTAATAATAACTGCTAGCACAAAACATGACATCCTTCACTGCATTTCAATATTCCACTTGAACATGACGCTAATTATATCCTTATAATAATCATCTCTGCGTGAGTTTATGTAAAATACGTGTGTCTCATATAATATGTCTGATACATTATACTCATTGCATAATGTGCTACTCGGAACCAACGTGTACATTGCATTTGTTTCTTTCATTAACACTACCTTTGACAAAAAATTGCGATATAATAACCAATTAACAAAAATAATAATGAATGGAATTAGTTTCTAGCTAATATGATTGCCTTATTAAATACTTTATTGAATTTATTAATTTCTGATATGAAATTGATTGTAAATGATCAAAGGTGTTAGGTTATGTGTTCATATTTAATGCCAGTTACTTCACTATAAGTTTCTCATTCGTCATAAAATGTAGGAGAAAGCAGAACACTACATAGTAATCGAAATTATTTTTGTTATATAAGTAATGAAGAGAACTCCTTATTCATACTGCCGTGCGTTTTGTATGCTACTGTTTATTTAGCGAGCAGAAAATAATGGAATCGGAACTCGAAAGGAGCAATTTTTTTCGAGGGAATAACAATCTCAAAGCTAAGTCAAGGAGTGAATATCAAAAATATGTGAGCTGCTTAAGTAAAATTCACTGTAGCATAATATTTGACTGTAAGATTAAACTGTATAAAAGTAGCTACATAGATTGTAACCTCTAGAGGTTATTATGGATACAAAACATTTTTATTGATGTAATTATTGTAGGGAAAGATTCAATACAGAAGTGCAAATTTTCGAAAATTATACTTCTCCAATATTTTTAATAATTTTCTAATAATTAAGATGAATACTGATTTATACAATGACAGTGCTTAAAAGTAATATCAAAATAAAGTACACGTAAAACAATGAAAATGCTTTAGAAGTTATATTCAAAAAAGGCAATAAATATTTGTTAGAACATTTATTTAAGTATGCATTAGAGTACAGTAATGTTATTGAAAATATCTGATAATAAGGCCAACGGATAAGACTAATTAAAAATTTATAATTGAGAGCAGTGGTTGATGTGAACTGGTTCCAAGAGCAGTATAATTTAAAGATTTATTGGGAGGAGGCAATTTCGCAGAAAATGAATAGAAAGTAATAGCAAAGTAAGTAATGGTTGTGATGAGCCTGAAATGTTGACGTGAAACGTAGACGGAGAGTAGAAAAGTAAGCACAAACACAGTATATGATGTGTGATAGATGAGATTCAGTATTATCCAAGCAAATAATTATTTACATACATACTTTTGCTTACTTAAAAGCAGTTTATTTGCAAGTTAAAATAAAGCTGCACAGCTGATGTTCCACTCGATTTGATAGGTCTGTTAAAGATAATTTCTTATCTTATTTCATCCGTAACATTTTTGATTCTTATCATCTTGTGAGCTTCTAGCATCAGTACCTCATTGCAATAATATTAATTTTAAGTATTTTTTTGTACTAAAGTTTCAAAATTCAACTCGAAGTTTGACGTTTTGTGTTCAACACCGATTAATATTTAGTACACAATTAAAATTCTAGATCTAAGTTTCATATCTTACAGCAAATGCATAAATTTATATTTTAAATAATGAAAAAAAGAAGGAAGGAGTAAACTGTAAAAAATTATGCGTACGCAGTAAGTAAGAAGATTCTTACACGCTTGTTTTCCCATTTCCGATATAATTTTTGTTTTATTCAGCAAAAAAGATTCACTTTATTAGTAGTAGCAATATTATATACGTATTAACTGAGCAGATTACAACGTGATAATACTTTGAATGAAAGAAGATCACAAGGCTATTTGAATAATACTTCCAGAATTCAGCACATACATTTGCTGAGATATACCCTATCAATCAGATAAATAAAGAACGATTAAGTTATATCAGTTAGTTTCACTAATTATTTGACGCATTATTTTCTTAATTCCACGCATAATACTTTTCACCCTTGCAAATTATTAAGTTTCTGAAAATAAATGACTCTGTTTTTAGAAATACAACTAATTTATGATAATATGTAGAAATAAACGCTAATTAAGTAGCATCAAAATTAATTTACATTTCAAGAAAGTATTTTTATAAAAGTGTGAAAAGTAAAAATTCAAATCAAAACAGTTTTTTAAATTTTTCAAAATTTGCAAACAATTTAAATTGTTAATGATGACAAATTTTTTTAAAATAACAATAACATAACTTTTAATTGTTTTTAATCGCTTTTGTCTAACTTTAAATCAGTTAGTTTATTTATCTTTTTTGCACTACACACCTTTTTCTTTAGAATCGTAACTTCATCTCAAGACTTAATCTTGACAGATTTATTCCAAGACTTAATCTCAACAAACTGATCTCGAGATCTATTCTCGAAGAGAAAATATTCATCGAAAACAAAACAAAGTTGCGAGCACTTTCTATTTTTATCCAAGTTAAAATGTTATACATTTATTTTTAAATATTTGTACATAAACATGAAGCATCGAAAACCAGCATACTTAAGATTACATCACTTTTTATATTTTAAAACTTAAAATCTTTCATCTATCTCTTATCTTATCAACTTTGTGAAAAACGATTGAATGAACTTTGAGCATTCTGTAGCTATTCTTGCTTTATAACTGTTTAAATTCATATTATTCTATTCCAGATTTTTGAAGATGTAAATTTTTGATATCAGTTTATGTGTGCTAAATTTTCACTAAAAAAGCATGTCCGATTTTGATCCTTCTGAATGCACTATCAGAACACTCTCGATAAACTTTGAGTTTGCTAGACTATCCATCTGAAATTACTCATAAAAGGTAGAATCAAAGTTTGATCTCGCTGAAATACATGCGCAGTTACAGTCTTGAAATCTTACATAATTATGCATAAATACTTTCTGATTGGATCATTTTTCATTAAATTAGAACACTGAGATTATTTTTTAGGAAAAAGACTAGATACATGTACATGACAATCTTGGATTTTTAACAGTTCAGTACATTTGCTTGAAATGGATTATTGATTGGTTTAAACTTTGATATTCAAATTAGATTTTTGATAGCATTTTTTTGGCTGTACATATTATTTTTTGAGGTTAAGTAAGCAAACGCTTATTGACTGAACTTTGCACGTAGTTCCAGAATCTAATTAATGCAAATACCTAATAAACAGTGTAATACTTTTAAAAGTTACAAATTTTATTGACGCAAATTAAATATAACAAGTGACCGAAGTGTACGTAATATTTGCAGCGTAAAGGATTGCTGTATTGACTTTATGGTGCTCTTAAATGACAACATTAAAATACCAAAATTGATAATGAAATATAGACAATCATTCGAAGTGCAAGCGTTATTCAATATTGATTGTTCGTATAGCAAGAAGATTTTGCGTAGAATTACTCTCTAAGAACTGAATAAGCAAGCGAATTCTGCAATCACCAGTATCACAGGTCTCCCTGCTCGCAGAAACGGTTTTTTGAGGAGTCAACGAAACGTAACAAAGCACAAGACACGTACTTCGGGAAGAATACGTCACATGAGTCTAGGTTTATCTAGATGTGAAGGAAAAATACCTAGTGCTGATGCAAGAAGCATAGAGACGTAAAATAAACCAGACAAAGTGGACGCGGAAAATAACATCGGAAAGCCGATCATATTTGAAGCGGTAAATAAAGTGGCGGTTAATATGCCGCCACACAGAATCCCCCAAGTCAGTGACTGATTTTGCAAGGCAGCTCCAGGCGGTACAACAATGCTACGTTGTGAAAGGCGAGAGAAGAAATCATTGAGAAGAAGGCAAGTATAGAAAAGAAGATATGTTTGAATAACTTTTTCAAAGCCATCATAGGGTAATTCGTTAGTGAAACACTTCAAGGTAAAGACCTGAGGGGGGCCAAAGAGTGTATGAGGAGCATGAATCTCATACTTGCTCTCAAACGTGACTGTTACGAAGCAGCGAAGATCAGCACAACAAAATCTAAGCGCAGGAGTAGTACAACAAGAGTGCCAAAATACAATCCAGCGCCAAAATTAGTAAGATGTGATCATAAAAGAAGATTGACCTCTGATGATATTGATCTTATTTGATTTTATTATATGTAGTTATTTGTCACTCGGAGATTATCACGTGGAGCAATGTATTGTCGTGTATGTATATAATAAATAATATATTGCCCGGCTGAATTGCCGAATTCTTAAGTTGCTGGCTGATTAAATTGTATCACAAAGCAGAAAGTGGAGGATAGTCTGTAAGAAACAGATTATGAATTAAAACAGATGCAAAATAGATGAGATTATAGAAAAAAGCTCCGTGAAGGACGTGAGCTACCACTTGACCAATGTTTCGGAATCAGCAAAACTGAGTGAAGGATAAGTATAACAAACGTGCTGGAACACCAGAAAATGCAGGAATCAGTAATGCAAACTGCTAGACGCAAACATATATGGATATACATAAATTAACAACTGGAAGATGAAGATGAAATAAAATTCTCATTTATTTAAATTCATAATATATCAAAATCGGTAGTTTTAAATGATAAAATAACTTTTCGACACAGCAGAAGTAAGCGTGCTAAAAGTGTAATGTAACTTAACTTCGCATCAAATATTCATGAATACCTCAGAGCACATTATCGTATAAGTTCTATGGGAAACGGAAATATCACTGTGGAATTTTTCTCTGCACTGAAAAGTTAGATTAGAGTGGAAACTATGATCCGTTTGGAGATACTTTAGTGTAAAGAAGATTACTTTTATAAACACATCTATACTGACTCAAAAAATATTACATTTCAGAATTTAAACAAGCCTCAAATTTTTAGAAGAATAGTTGAGAAAGAGACCTGATAGAACAGAGAGTCTGGAGATACCTCAGTTGAACTGCTGTAGGTGATTCGGCTATGATGTTTGCAGCTTCATTGAGAGCTTCTGAAGCTTTTATTTCACCCTCCGCTGCTATTACCTACAAACATTTTTTTGTTTAATAGTTCTCGTTTTTCTCTGAATCGAAGACTGAATTTTGGATAATGCAAAAGTGGTACTTCGAATTTAAATAGGTAGAAGCACTTATTGAATTAAACTTATCTATTTAGATAAGTTTAATTCAATGAGTGCTTCTAATCAATTAATAAATGTAACTGTTTAAAACATATAACTAAATTTGTAGAAGCTGATGAATGTTTAGTTACAATTTCTAATGGACAAATGCCTTGCATCGGAAATATTTCTGATTTTGAATATAATTTTTGCATATCTCACAAGTAAGCTTAGCACGAGACCTTAGCTCGAGCTTCACGTGTGGCCTCAGCCTCAGCAGCCATTACACGTTGCAGTTGAACAGGCAAACGAACATCTTTTACTTCAACTCGCTCCACTTTCACTCCCCATGGATCCGTGGCTTCATCTAGTGTATTCTAATGCACAAAATTTATTTACTCTCAAAGTTTTATTTTTGATTTGAGATAACTTTTACTTTATTAACATTTCATTTTCTTGCAGTTAAATGTACAAATGTTTCAGTTTTTTTTAAGTTTCCAAGTTTCCAAATCCTTTGGGATTAAATTTTATTATTTTCATAAATTCGTATTTGGGCTTTGCACATATTTGGAAGTTATTTGAAAACAAAAAATACAATTTTTCAGAAATTGCACCGAAAAAACCGATTAAAATAGTAACTAAAATGGTTGTTATTGAGAATTTGAGATGAATACATTTTTGTTTAATATTTGATTTATTTTGAAGATAAATTTGAATTAATTTCTGAGTAAATTTTTATTACAATTGGTTTTTACGCAATTTTTGGGGCGAAAATTTGCGTTCAAAAATAAAAAATAAGTGAATGAAATCAGCATCGAACAGACTTGCATTTGCATAGAGATAGCTTCTCGATCGCTCAACATTTCAGCCAATGTTTTAGTACCCAAAATATTTCTAAGCGTTGTTTGAGCTAAAAGCTTTGTAGAATGACTAGCGTCTTCAACGTTTGTTACGGATACAGTAGCGTTTGAAATACGGAAGTATACTACGGCATCAACAGCGACAGTTACCGAATCACGTGATAAAATCTTAAATTTACGTTGAAGCAAACTGAGTTAAGAATGAAAATTGCTTAATTGAAATTAAAATTCTTGCACAAAGCTACTTTTCATCTATTAAAAGTTATCAACGATTATAGTGCTAAAATTTTGTCTGATACTTTTCAATGCATTGAATACATAGCTAATTTTTGTGGTCAAAACGTCTAGATTCTGAACAAACAAATAAATATAAAACATTATTTTGAGACTTTAATTAATTTGTAAACCAAAGTTTTGTATACATTTTTTAAATGAAAGTTGAAATACATCAAATAAAAATAATTACAATACTTCTTGTGGAGGAACGTCAAATGATACCACACGTAAGTCAACTTTTTTATACGAATCAATGCAGGGCAAAATGAAGAACAGACCTAAATAAAAATGACAATCTTACAAAATTTTTTCATTTTTAAAAAATTTCAATGCATTGCTTTTTTTATGGAAATGTTTGCAATTACCAGGCCCGCGGGCTCCTCCAGTCATCAGCCTTCCCAGTCGAAATATTACAGCCCTTTCGTATTCCTGTACAACCTGAAATTACACAGCACATTTTTTTGAAAATATATTAGATACATATGTTAGTATGTATATAAGGTTAATAAATACTTTGCTGGTATTTATTAATCTTGAAGGTATATTTTTAGCCTATGACATCAGCTTATTTATCATCTGTCAATTAAATTTGCAGCATACAATAATATTTATGTTTTCACTTCGTTTTTTTAAAATTTTATTGTGTAAAAGTGATTAATAACTAAATTTTTCAAAAAAGAGAGCAGATATTTAATGATATGTCAAATTTTTTTTTGCTTATTTCGTTTTGTATTTTGGATTTCACATTTGCTTATTTAATTCAAGCAATTTTTTCTTGCAGAGTTTAAAGGTCATAATCAACTTGAAATGTATTAGACAATTGATAAGTATGAAATATACTTTAATGCAAGCATAAGCCGAAAAGGGTAATGTCAAGAAGACAACCAAATACGCTGCAATCGTCAATATCCAACCACAAATACCAAGTTCGAGTTTGACCCTTGCTTCAATTTTTAGCATTTTAGAAGTTACTTTTTATATTTAAATTATGAAAAGAAAAATTTGAAGACAAGAATATGAAATTAATTACACGTATATGTCTTATATATATATATATATAAAGACAAGGATGCGTAAATAATTATTCGTATAAATATTATTTTATTTTTCAAATATTATTTTTAAAGTTTTTCAACTTTAATAATTATCTCTCATAGTCATACCACATACCACACTAGTAATAATCGTTTTTAACCAGAAAAGGTAAAAATATTATGGAAAAAACAGGAAAAATATTACAAAAGTTTTTTATTATTTGAAATATAAGAGCCTATTAGTTTGCTTGTGTAGATGAATAACAAATAGTAAAAAATTCATAAATTATGTGAGGTCGAATTTTTTTCATTTTATTCTCAAATATTTAAAGCGCTAAATGAGTAAGAAATTCAGTTTATAATTATTAAAAAATCATTTTCCAGTACTTAAATTATGTTTTCAAAAGTTAAAGCAAATTTTTTAATCAAAAAAACCTAGCAAAAATAATCGCAACCAAGTACTTAGTACTGAATGATAGAATTACATAGCAATAAGCTCATTAGTCAAATAAATTAATCATTATTACATACTTAATATAGATATATGAAATATTAATAATTCTGAAAAACTTTCAATGAAAATTTCCCACATTTCAATGTTAAACATTAATCAAACTGAAATAAAATCGTGAAATAATAAATTTACAATTAAGTTTTTACTAATAATTTTTTTTAAATAATTATAAAAAAGTTACGTTCAAAGGTAGCTGAGATTGATTCAAGAGGTGAAGCAGTGACTCCGCGATGTCGCAGTGACATTCTGTGTTTCAGCATAGTAAAACTTGCTTATAGCAATTTTATTTATGAAGTATCTTGAGAATTCACATACTTTTCGTATCCTTCATAAAACTTCTCAGCAAAATACAAGCTGAGCAGTTAGCGAGAATCACTTCTGCAACATATTTTGCGGTACATATTGTTGAAATAAGCTTTATATCGAAAAATAAAAGTAGTAAAAAAACAGAACTTGAAAAATTACAAGAAAATTGAATGTAAGCAGAAGAAAGTTTTATCAAACTTGTTGTTTGGATGGAAGAATGAATAAATGGTGGTCATTAATGTACTAAAATTTATTTCTGGCATAAAATCTTAATTATTCAACCTCTTAATTAATTAAATTTAGGAAATTAAACTGCTTGTATCAATTTTATAGCTCCATATAATTTAAAAGGTTTCATCTTCTATCGTCCTTCTAATATTTGTGACATTTTTAGGTTTCCGATGTTAATATGATTCTAAAAATTTGACATTTTAAAGCTATCAAATTAAAAAATTTTAAAGTTTTTCTTAATTCATAAACATACTAATTATTTTTTCAAATAGCAAAACTGGATTTAATAGGTTTCAATAATTTATAGTTTTAATAATTAATTTATAGCGTTTTTTATTTATTCGCAACTTTCTCAAATACTGTCTAACAGTTTAAAACCAATTTATAAATGTGAGTTAAAATTTTCAACAGTTTCTTTACTTTTTCTTACATCTGCTAGAAGGTTTCTTAAGGTTCATATTTTAACGTAAAAAAATTTCAGTGAGCGGTGAAAATTTTTAGTAGAATGACAAATATTCACTTCACTTTCATGCTTATCCATCCAAATAGAAATTAAGATGGATAAGCATGAAAGTAAATTCTCGAAATCGCGCAGTCAGCAGGAATGAGTTAGTAATTTACTCATGAAGAGTCAAAGGTCATAATGAGAACCCTAATGAAAAATGAGCAAGCAAAGAAAGAAATATCACAATTATTTGAGTATATATCACTGGATGCTTTTTTTCAAGCTATACGGATTATTCACTTCAGCACTTTTATCTTTATATCTCAAGTAATAACTTACTAAATAGAGTATGTCTTCTATAAAAAAATTATTAAATTTGCTTAAATGAATATTAAAAGTTTGCAAATTGTTTGTCTTGTAATAATACTTTTGAATAACTTACTTCTCACTAATATATTTATATATTGCTACTCAAGAAATGTGGTTTTTGAATCCGTTATTTATACTGAAAACTGATGAAATCAAATCAGAAGTGCTTTGCATTTCTAAAAAATATTAAAGATTTCGATGGAAAAATGTAAGTGAAATAGAACAAAGCAAAAATAGAACGTAAGTTTTGTTTAAAGCATAGGAATATTTGCTAGGTAAAAAATAATAATATTCAGTAAGCTCAAAAAACTTAGTTTGTAATTAAAAGTCAATCATAGAAACAGCTAAATGTCATGCATTAAACTTCACGAAACACGTAGCTGATTCAGACATGGAAGAAACTTCAGCGTAGATTAGACGAAAAAAGCTTACTTCTTTTATGGTACTTAAAAGATTTGTCATTTTTTTCACATTTTTAAAATTTGCTTTGACTTTTTAATGCAACTAAAAGGATAAGAAAACGTTGAAACTTTAATTAGCTCATTTTCAGCACAGTAAAAAAGCTTTCTAATTATATGATTTCAATATATATTTTTTTCCAATATTTCAAATTATTCATGCAAAATATGCGTGTATAACGTAAATTTTTGTGAAAAAAATGGAACTATTTCAAACAGACAAAAATAGAATAATAAATTTATATTTAAAATTATATTTATTTTTTGCAAGTAGCATTTATCCATCTTGCCTTAATTCTTCTTTATACTTTTTAGGCTTTTACACTTACTTCTATTCGATTAAGTCAATCCATTCCGTTATTCAATTTGTCAACAATTCAAAAAGTTCTATTTGGACAGACAAGCTAAAGTATGCTTTTTTGATCAATGACGTGAGATAATTTATTTTGACGTATTAATCATTGCAATTTTAATCGAAGTAATCATAAACTAAACTTATTAAAACTTTAAAATTTTGTTATAAATCACTTATTAATTAAAACTTTTAGCGTCGATTTTTTGAAAATTTAATTCCATTCCATCACTTTTCTTCATAAACTTTAAATATATTTGATGACGAAAAGAAATTTATTATCTATTAACTTTCTGTCAGATCCATATTTTTCAACTGAACATTGCTAGAATGGAAATAAATGAAATGAGTAAATAATAACTTTTGTTCCAAATCATAACTGATATTTGTAATCGCTGACATATATTTGATTACTTATTTCAAAGTAAGCAAATTTTATCATATTTAGTTTTTTGTAATTATTTTGCAAATATTATAGCAAATCGTTTTTAAAATTATACTGCAATTAGCTAAGTTAATGTGCAGAAAAAATTTGAGTTGTAATAGCAAATTGAAGAACGGAGTGAAGAGAATTGCACAGCTCGCAATAAATATTAAAATTAATAAATAAAGCGAAAATTTTTTAAAAAATTTAAAAAATTTTTTTAATGAATAAATATTATAAAAAACTGAATGTTTTATTTACAAAAAACAAAAAATAATAAACTGCAAGGAAATTTTGTTTTTTACAAAAATTATACTTTTTCAAGCACACTACTGATATGCCAATAAAATAATTTCTTTGATTACATTTTTATTGAAAAAGTATTCAATAAAAAGGGACTTTCACATGAGAAAGTAATAATAGCTATTTTTTTCAATTTTCGTTTCTATTTCTTATCTTTTTTTGATGAAATAAATGATTAGAGAATATTTTATAACTAAATAAATTCGAAAAAATTGAAAACTTTTTTCTTCAACAAATAATCTTTAAAGTTAGCTTATTTTGTCATCAAAAAGTGCCCAAATTTTTAAATACTTAGTAAAAATTGATGATTATAAGAAGTTATATCACTGCGTAGAATAAATGTTTCAATCGCTGAAGTGAATTATATTCTCAACTTATGCAAAACAATATAAGCAAAAACACTGGCTTAACTTAAAAACTTTGATAAAAAATCGAAAAATGCATTTTTGGAATTACTTTTCTAGAATTACTTTTTCGTGTACATATAATTGTATTAATAAAAAAGTATTGCTTTGCATTATTCTTTAATTTGAATTATAAAATAATTACCAAGAACAGAACTGAGGAAAGGAAAGGAAAAGCGTAAGAAAGCATCGAACTTGCATCACTTCACTTCAGCTAGAAGCTACTGCTCTGCTAGGATGGATGAAGGAAAATGTAGTCAGAGCAAAGGATATGCAGTTCGAACTCAAAATGTCTAAAAAAGGAAAGGACGAGAGGCAAAATCTGTTTTTGGTTTTTTTTAATATTGCCAATTTGGCTAGTTTCTTAGCCTGGACACTGGATCTCGTCAAGACAGAACAAAGGAAAAGCCTAGCAAATTGCAATAAAATTTGTTCAGAACACAAAAACATGGAGTGAAGCATTTCAAAAATAGACACTACTATCATATGCTAAAACAAAGACGAGAGTTGCAATGTATAATATTAGTATTATTATTACTTCAACATTTTATTTTTATTGCCTATATCTAATTTGCATAATTTATGCTAATTTTTTCATTCCCAATCTCTTAACAAATATTAATTTTGTATTCAATTCAAATAGTCAAAAGAATTTGACAAATTTAAAAAAGTACTTTATTTGATTTATTCAAAGTATTCAAAAAGTGGTAATTATATGCGACTGCATACAAAATAGTACTTAATCTAATGAGTCTATGAGCAAATTCAATGTATTTTATACTCTAAATAATTTATGATGTTGAGAGTGAGAATCTGGTTGATTTAAGTGAAATTTAAATTTGCATTTTTTTCAATTTTCGAAAATGCTTAAGAAATCAAGTTATTTGCAAGTAGTATTTTCTTACATTAATTTCAGAACAATAATCCATCTGAAGTTTTCTGCTGAGTAAATGACAAATACATTATTTGCACTTGCCTTAACGAATGAGTATTGGCCATTTTTAATTCTATACATCATAATACTTTCAGAATTTTCGTATTTTTAGATACGATTCAAGTAAAGATTTGATTATTAAATAATACATCACATGAATAATAAATAATACCGTTAACATTTAAG